GCCGCAAATGAGCCTGTCTCTGAGACAGTCTTCTAGATCAGGGAACTCACATTGGTGCAAAGCTTGGCGAAGGGCTGCCACAAACTCTGCTGCAAATTCCCCAGATCTCTGTTCTCGTTGCTCAAATGCATGGAGCCAGAGGATGACCGAGAGTCTAGGCTCAAAATGTTCCTTTAATTTTTTCTTGAGGTCTGCTGAGGCCACTGTCTCTATGCTTGCCAGTACTACAAGTTTTCAGCGATATCAAATGTGGCTTGTCCAGACACATAACAGGGTTACCGCCAGTGGTGAAATGTAAAATTTGTTACTACTGGTTCTGTGGGCGTGGCTTGGTGGGGAGGTAATGTGACTGGGTGGGTGTGGCCAACTTTTTTTTACTTTTAAAAGCATTTTTTCTACAACCTCAAGAGGTTGCAGAAAAAAATGCTTTTAAAAGCCTCTGACGATCCCAGCTGAGCCACGCGATCATCAGAGGCTTTTTTTTTTTACTTTTAAAAGCATTTTTTCGGCCAAAGAGGTTGTAGAAAAAATGCTTTTAAAAGTTAAAAAAAAAGCCTCTGATGATCATGCGGCTCAGCTGGGCATGGGACGGGGGGGGGGGGGGAGAGACAGGGATTTTGGCTACTGGTTCTCCGAACCACCCACTGCCATTAGCCCGGAGATAGTTTTCTACTCAGGAGGCATATGAGCTCCACTGTTCCGGGTGAGTAATATCAAACTTGTTGAGTCTTCCCAATTTAGCCATTTTGAGAAGGCCCCTGTGGTGCTAGTTAATGCCTGTCCTACTGAGGGTGATGCTGGGCTGCACTTAAGGAGTCCTGGGGATGGATTCCACAGGTACGTCTGTGCCTCCAGTGTGTCTTACTGACAGGCAGGGCGGGGAGCATGGTCCCACCAGGGCTCTTTACCCGGTCTGACACCCAGTGATTTCAGCATGCCTCCAGTGTGGCTTACTGGCAGGCAGGCATGAGGACTAGTCCTGCCAGGGCTTCGCTACCCAGCCTATCACCCAATGACTTCAGTCTCTTGGTTAGCAGCAGCTCTCTCCCCTGCAGCATCCCATCCTCATTGCCACTATTGTGTAGTGGGCTTCAGTAGGAAAGAACCAGACCAGCATAGCTACAACAGCATTTATTGATTCAAAACTGGAACTGAGGAACAGCAGGCAAATGCCTGTAATTTATACACTGGGCCCACAGGGTCTTAACCAATCATAATGCTTGAAAAACCCACCCAAATATGAATGTTCAAAGTTTCCCTCCAAAATAGTTGGAGTTAACAGTTAGGGTCATCTAAAGGTTCACTTTAGCAGGGCTTAACACAACTATATACATTCAGTACATAACAGAGGAAATGGAAGTAGCAGGAACACCAATGGAAAGGGATCGTTTTCCATGCTTAGAAGAATGACAAGCAATTTAAAAAGAGGCCAGCCGAAGACAGAGTGGTGAGAAACCATCATTGATGGCAAAAGCCAATGCTGTCAAGGAAGCAGTTATTGACAGATGATCCTTTAAGGAGTTTGAAAAGGACTATAGGCTCTTTCTTGATAAAGAGGGGAAATATGGAGTGGATGGCCCCACCACCAAATAAATTTGGTGCTGAACAACAGTATCCGTCATGTGGTCCTTCATGGAGTCACATCCAGGGGTTTGTAGTAGGGTACTTCAGGGTTCCATCCCAGGGCCATCCCAGTGTGTTCCTCAATGTTTCCATAAATTACTTAAACAAGGAAATAGAAAGGATCCTCAGCAAATTTGCAGATGACACTAAGATGGGAGAAAGAGATTGCTAACCGCTCAGAAAACAGGCACAACATTTAAAAGGATCTCAATAAAGTTAAATATTTTGTCTTATCTAACCAAATATAGTTGAGTGGGAAGAAGTATTGGGTTCTGATTTTATCAAAAAAATCAGGGGCACAGGTACATAATAGGAGATACTTGGTTTGGCAGTGGGATGTATGAGAAGGATCTGGGCATACTGGTAGACCATTGATTATGCATGAATCACCAATCTGCTGCAGCTGTCGAAAGAGTTAATGCAGTCTTGGGTTGCATTCACAGAAATGTAGTGTTGCGATCACTGACCATTCTGCTCTGAGCTGCCCTGCTGAATCTGCACCAAGAAGACTATTTCTGCCACCACACTATGACAAGAACCCTGAGAAACTGGAAAGGGGGCAGGGGAGAGCAGCAAGGATGGTACAGGGCTTGGAGGCTAAATTCTACAAAGACCAGTCAGAGGAACTTGGCGTGTGCAATGTGCAGAAGAAGCAGCTAAGGAGAGCCACGAGAACTCTCATTTGCCAAGCAGGAAGTAAAGAGACTGATTCTATGAAAACCCTGATAACGATGAGGCGAGTAACAAAATTCAACATGGAGTTTTCAAAAACAGGAATGACTTGTCTTGTCAAACTCATTTTTTTTTAATTGGGGAACTTTTGTAATAAATTGTGGGAAGGAGCTTGTTGCTTTTGGGTGGTGAGCTGTAAACTCCATCTCTTTCGTATGTGTGTGGATGCCATCCATTAACATTCTGATCAGTAGCCAATTAAGGGAGGGCTGCAGTGATGAGCAGGAGGAGCATGGACGCACTCCCTGCACTTGTTGCTATCTCCTTAAAGAAACCCCACACCTGGTGCGACAAGGGACATTAATGACCCTGTTGTTCCCTCCTTAAATACTCTCCTTTCTGGGACTTACATTGTGCTTGTATTCAAGTGCAGCTTCCGGTCTTTCAGGTCAGGAAAAGACACCCTTTCTCTAAGGGGGCACTGATTGGTGCAGACAGCTTGCCTCTGAGACCTCTGAAGCACTTTTTCTGTTTCATATCCAAATAGCTGCAGACCCTCCGGCCCTGGTTCAAAAGTGCCCATTAACGGTTCCACACCAACTGGAGAGTGAAATAGGCTCAGCTCAGGGCCTTTAATCTTCAAGCTGTTTATTGATGTCTTGGATGAGGAGCTTATCAGATTTGCAGATCATGCTAAATAGGGTGGAATGCATAATGCTGTAGAAGGCAGAAATAAAATTCAAAACCAAGTTGGTAAGAGATAGCTATAAAGTTTCTTCCCTTAGGAAAGAGGCCCTGAGAATCAGGGATGCCTGGCTGATGACACCTTTGGATGACAAAGGTGATCAGGAAGTAAAAACTAAATCTCACGAAGGATGAAATCAGTCCTTTTCTCTGAGAATCCTGTCTATTTTGGCCATGAGTTCTGAAGGCTTATTGAACAGTTTTGTTAATGAAATCCTTAAAATCTATCAGATGATTTCTCTTTCATGGATGTAGTCAAGCAAAGATAAAGGAGATTTTCAATTGAGGGGATTGGACTCCACAATTCTTGGGTCCTTCTAAGATGGATGGCAAGATTGGTAAGACCACATTTGGAATATTGTGTCCACTTTTGGTCACCATGATACAAAAAAGATGTTGAGATTCTAGAAAGGGTATAGAGAACAACAACAAAGATGATTAAGGGTCTGGAGGCTAACTCACATAATGAACTAGATTTGGGGAACTAGATATGTCTAGCCTAAGAAAGAGAAGGACTGTGGTATGATAGCAGTGTTCCAATATTTGAGGGGCTGTCACAGAGAAAGGGGCTCCAAAGCACCTGAAGGCAGGACAAGAAGCAACAGATGGAAATTAATCAAGGAGAGAACCAACCTAGAACTAAGGAGAAATTTCCTGACAGTGAGAACAATCAATCAAAGGAAAACAGGTACTCCAACACTGGAGGCTTTTAAGAAGAGACTGTACAGTCATTTGTCTGAAATGGAATAGGATCTCCTGCTTGAGCAGGCGGTTGGACTAGAAGACCTCCGTGGTCTCTTCAAACTCTGGTATTCTGTTATTGCTCCCACATATTATGAATGTAGCATTTTCCTTTTTCTTTAACAGAATGCTCATGTTTGTTTAACTGTAAAATGCTTAGCAGTTGCCAGAGCAGACTCTTCTGGCTTTATTTCAGTGCCAACCAAATGCCATTGCTTAGTTATGGGGAGCTGTGCCTTCTACCTGGTGACCAGTGAGTGGGAATCGGAAGAATAGACCACCAAACACAAAGATAGTGGCTTTTCCTGGCCTTTATCACAAAACAATCCATCTTCTGTCAAAGAACAAAGTAACACTGTGCGATAAGATGGGCGACTAATAAATTTTACAAATAAAAATAAATGTAAATAAATAAACAAACAAACTTGAACACTGACTAGGGGTCCTTGGAGCTGGTGCTTATAATTGTAATTACTTATAAAATAAGTAATTACCAAAAAAAATGGATAGCAGCGGTAGCCATGCAATCAGAGCCTCACCCTGACCCCTGTGATGTAAGTGACCCTGCCTGACCACAGCCACCCCCCCTCCCCCCGTGAGGCAGGGAGCCTTGGACTCTGGATAAGTCCCACTATCTTTCTGCTTGAGAGTTCTATCCTAACGATAGAAGAGAATGTTTGTAGCTCGGGGTTCCTTGTTGCAGAGCTTGGCTGTTTTCTTGCAGACATTTCATTACCAAACTAGGTAACACTATTTGCGCACTGATGTTACCTAGTTTGGTAATAAAACATCTGCAAGAAAACAACCAAGCTCAGAGAGCACCAAGGACCCCACAGTTCTCTCCTTAAGCGGATCAGTCTACCGAGCAAGTTCATCTGTTTGCTTGCATGTAACAACCTCACAACCCCTTTCTGATTCCTGTAGTTTGGAAGGATCCCTTAGTGATCTGGGGGAAATTTGATCCTGGAGTTTGGGCTTCATTGTCAGGGGCAAGGGCAAGGGCAGAGTAGACTCAAAAGCTAAGCTGAAACCTGGCACCACACACAATCTATTTTCCCTGTGCTACAAGAAGCCCAATTATGAGAAGGAAGGCCAAGAGGTGGTCCTTGTCCAAGGAAGGCAGGAAGAATTCTGAATGAGGAACCAGCCTGTTTGTCACCTGTTTCATGTTTCCAGGGACGCTACACCCAGCTTATCCTCAGCAGCCCTGTGATGCTCACCAGTGTGGCCGTTGTTCTTCAGGGGAAGTGTCTCTTCGGGAGGCAAATCGTAGCCAGACAGGAGCAGGGGCTCCAGCTTGACGCTGAAGCTGACAGCAGCTGTGTTGATGTTGATGGGAGACTGCATGTGACCGTCACAGTTGGGGAACATGGATGCCCACTCTGGCATGTCTGAAAGAGAACACGCTTCAGGAGCCTCAGAGTCATTTACCTGCCCCAGAAGGCAGGGAACGTTGGGTGGGAGGTTAGGAAAAAGGAGAAAGCTTGACAAAGAGGAAAAGTGGAGCTTGGTCAGCCTCACTTCTGCTGCTCTTCCAGAAAATTCAGGATAAAGTGAAAAGAACATGACGGGCACTTCCAGGTGGTTTTTCTGGATTGGAGACTTCACACACGTCTTCCCAGCTCTGGCTTTAAAACACCGAAAAGCTACCTCTCAATTGCTGCATAAACTGGCTGAATCTGGGAAGTAGCTGGTTCCACCAGGCTACGATGCCTGCGAAGCAGCCAGGATCTTGGGGTCGATCTGGGCAGAGACCAGGAGGCTCGCCATTAGCCTGTAAATGCAGGTGGGGTGGCAGCTCTGGGCTGGGCTGGCAGGAGGGAGGAGGCAGCTACCCATGGAATGCAGACAGATGCCCTTGGGGGAGGGGGGCTCAGTGCAAGGGCAGCTCTTATCATCTCTGCTGCAGGGAGGAATGCGGGCACTGGGCATGAATAATGACCTGCAATGGCTAAAGTAGGGCTGCGGAGTGGAGATGGGGGTAGATGAGGGACAGGAACAGGCCTTCCCTGCTTCTACAACTTGAGGCCCAGATATGCCCAGGCAGGCTTCGGGCTCAGTAGAGCCGGAGAAGACCAGAGGCAGGCGTGACCAGAGCTAGCTGATCATTAACCAGCATTCACCTGGCCAGGAGCCCAGGGGAGCAAGACCAGGCCTTTACCTTTGTAGCTCCAGTGACGGTCTTTGTGCCCCGGAAGACCTAGGAAGCAAATAAGAGAACCTGACTCAAGTTGTTGCTCCCACCATTTCCTCCCCACAAAAGCAAAAAGGGAAGGTTCTCCTTGCCCCTCCCCCACTCCATTTTAATTCTGACATGGGGAACAGCATGGTTGATTCTCTCTCTCTCTCTCTCTCTCTCTCTCTCTCTCTCTCTCACACACACACACACACACACACACACACACACACACTAAAAAGACCTTGAATGATAGCCTGGACCAGAGGTCAGGTGGTGCGCTAAAGAGATAGAGCACTTGCCTTCTTTTTCCACAGGTTCCCCTGGTGACCCCAGAAGAGTCCTGAGTTTGGATCTCAGCCACCCAAAGGAAATGCCAGTCTAAACCGCCTTCTGCTTTCGACAGATCTTTGCCTCTCAAAAGACTCAGACTGCTTCCACATAGCACTGGCTGGCAGAAGCAAATTCTCTGTGCTGCTGCCCCAGCCAAGCTGATTTCTGCAAATGGGGGTGGTTGGGGTAGGGTTGAATGACCTAGGTATAAAATCCTGTGCAATGTGTAATGAGGAAATGGCAACTATACATCTTCACCTGCGCATAACAAAGCTGGCAAGCCATTGCAGTAAAATGTAGAAATGGTCACATGTTTTGATGACTTTAAAGGTTGTTTTTTTTAAAGAAATCCATGGGCAAGTGGCTTTGAAGACTCAATGTCACCTCCAGGTGGGGGGCAACCTCTCTCCAGCCCTAGTTGCCAGACAGCAGGTGGCAGGAAGGGGCTGTGTCTCCAGACTTCTGCTTGCAAAGCACGGAGTGCCCCTGTGAGAGAGCCATTTGGAGGGATCTTGACCTGATCCTGCAGTTTAATCTTATGTAAAGAAATAAATAAAATACCAACCATGGATAAAGGATCCCACCTTTTTTTGCACCCATGACTGTCGTTTTCCCTCGAAGAACGCAGGATAGGGATAACCTGTCCAGGACTTAGAAGGCTTCCAGACAGACAGTCTCCAATAGCATGGTGACAGCAGCTTTTCTGCTGGTCCCACCTTGAAACTTTTGGTTTCGCTTACAAAAATAGCCTTGGTGAGTTACTAGGTGGAGGTACCATCCTTGGATGCCTTACAAATGCCATGAATCAAGCAGAACAATTGTGCACTGCAGACTCAGCTGAAAGCCTAGGCCGATCTGTGACCAGCTGCACCCTCCTCCCCTCCCCCAGAACCTCTCCTGGCTGCCCTGGAAGAGAAGAGCTGCTAGCCAAGAAGGGTAGGGAGGCAAAAAGGCAGCCCAAGAGATCTCCCCCCTCCCATGGGACATCTGGGAGGCACCACGGAATTTATTTATTTAAAACATTTGCAAATCTTAAACCAAACTCTGGGTGTCTTACAAGCAGGAATAAAACACACACACACACAAATCAATCAAAGAAAAGAAAACCTGGTGCCACAGCCACCCTTCCCTGACAAAGCCCCCAGATTCTCCCCTCACCCCGTCTCATTGCTGGGGAGAGGAGCTGGGTCTTAAGTGCACAAGTGTACAAGAAGGTGGGGGAAGGGATCTACTAGGAGCTCCTGAATGGACAAGAGTTCAGTGGAAGGTCACGTCTCAGCACAGCCATGGAGAGTATGTGAGGAACCCAGAAGCCCAGCATCCTCTGTGCAGAGTGACTTGGGGGAGGAGAGAGGGTGACCTGCTATGTTTTCTGGGATGGGGGAGGATGGTCCTCTGGAAACTAGAAGGACAAAAGAGGAGACCTGGCACAATATGGAGCTGCCGTGGTTGTCCAACCACCCTTGCCCAAGAGAAAAACTGCTCAATCCTGGGTGGACACAGGATCCCTTTAAAAAAGGGTGCTTCATCTGAAAGACTTCTGCCCTTGTCTTCCTAGGAAAGAGCTTGGGAAAGAGTTCTCCCAGCTTCTTAGGGGTCACCCTACCTAAATGCACACTTTGACTCAAATTCCATCAAGCGGCTTCTTTTTCCACAGAGGCCAATCCAAGCACAGCTCCATCATCCCATTGAACAGAATAGAAATGAAATCGGAAGGAAAGGCCTGTGTTGAACCTTTTCATGAGGGCTGACTCACTGTATGGCAGTGAGCCCTTCAGGATCAGCCCCAACAAATAAACAACAATGGGGAGAATATTTTACTCTGCAATTAAGTCTTTAGGCTGCAATCCTACACCTGCTTACTTGGAGTTCGATAATATTGCTTTCAAAACTCCTGCACTAACGATGTTATCCAATTGGAACATTTGCAATCCCAAACTTAACTCAGAGAACCTCCATAATACAACAAGAGTTACTTTTGAACAACTAAGTATTCAACTGTGTTATACCTCAAATCCCTAGTTATAATGTAGCAGACGAAGTCCTCTAAATTGAATAGCTGAGTGGAGGGTCTGTCCCCAGCCACAGACATACTCAGCAGGCAAAAGCTAATTGGAGGCGCTTGCTAGATTAAGGACCCTCATTTGTGTTACCCAGCAGCGAAAGAGGTGGGTATTTGCTCTAAGACCTGGACCTAGACCTGGAAATGGAGAGGGCAGCTCCCAACCTTACGAAAAGTTCCCAGCTGCACAAACCAAATGGACACTCAATGCTCCTGGGCACACTTTGCTCCAAGCAAGAGACAGACGACTACCGTCACTAAGGATATTTTAGGGTGGGTTCCCGAATGGAGTCCATATCCCCCCTCAAGGGACCCATTCTGTTCCAAGAGCCTTTCACGTCTTCACGGCTATTGCCCTGTTGCCTTGGTGTGCGCGGCCCGCTTAAAACTTTGACTCCGGAGTAAACTTTGCTTCAGAACCGTCGGGAAACGGAGTCGCCGGCGGTGGGCAGCCAAGGACATTCTGGTGCCCAGGAAGTTGCCCACTCCCGTCTACCATTGGTACTGCCCAACGACAATCCTAATTTCCAGCCGGTGGAATTTTCTATGGCTTCTTCGGTCGGAGAGAGGGGGTCGGTCTCCCACATCGCATCCCCACTGAGCGGACTGACGGAGGGGTGTTGCGGGAAGGACCTTGCCCCCTCAAGGCGTCCAAATCGGAGCAGCCCTGTCGGCGGCCGCCGTTGAAGCAACAGGTGGAGCTGATTGCCCGAAACTAAGCCCCGGAAGGGGTGGAGGGGGATTCTGCCGCCGCCGCCTCTCACCCACCTGCGTCGTCGTCGTCGTCCTCCTCGTCGCCCGCTGCGCAAGGTCGCGGGGCGGCCCATAGAAGCAGCAGCAGCAGCTGCAGCGAGGAGAACCGGAGTCTCAGCCTCTTCGCGGGGCGCATCTTCGTTTGCCCTCGAGGTCGCGTCCGCAGCCAGCCAGGCGGGAGTCCGTCGCAGTGGAGCGTCTCCCAGAGATCGAAAAGACGCGCTTGCCGCCTTTTATAGCGGGGAGTTGTGCCGCGCCGCCCCGTTTTAGCCTGCGGAGGGAAGTGCTACAGCTCCGCGGGAAGAAGATGCCCCCTTTCGGCCCTGGCATCTCCGCTCACTCTCGCTTCTGGTTGCAGCGGGTCTTCCAGCCACACTTTGCTGAGTATTTGTGGCTACAGGGATCCTCCCGCCCCCCGCCGCCCCGCCGGAGCAGGGCTATGTCCTCCTCACACCGGCAGACTGGTCACGCCCTCCCCTTTCCCCCTTACTGTTCGACGCGTCCTCGTGGACTTGAGCAGGAGGCCGGTACCCTCCTCCAGAACCTGATTTGGACCGGGCAATTATCGGGACCGGAGTCTTTTTTTTAAAAAAAAATTTATTATATTTTTATTGTTAAAGAATAACAGAAAGAAAAAAAATCAATACAGAAAATCAATAGTAAGGAAAGAAAAAAATTTCCCCCCCAAGGTGCTATACAAACGGAAAGGAAGTTTTAGGAAATTGAAGTCTTCAATTCTTCCAGAAATCTCTTTGATAAGGTACTGGTGCCGATTCATCCAATCTCCCAAGTGCAAAGTCCACAAATGGTTGCCAAGTGTTCCAAAAAACATTTTCTTTATATATACCACTTCTAATCTTAATATCACAAGTCAATTTATCATTTAATGCAAATTTCCATGTTTCATTGTACCATTCTTCTAATTTTAAGTCAACAGTTTTTGTAAAATGATGTTACTTCCTAAATTTAACTTTTTATTCGAGATCCTTCCGATTTTTTTAATCGAGGACATTGAAGTATATAAAAAAAAATTAGATAAATTTTGTAATGGGGATAAAAAACCAAGATTGATTAAGAAAATGTGGTATCAGAACCAAAAACAAGGTGGTTTAGGAATTCCAAAATTATTAAACTATTATAGAGCATTTAATATAAAAACAGTAGTAAAAATTTTAAAAGGAGATGTTAAACTTTGGGGTAATTTGGAAATGAAGGAAATAAAGAAGTTTGGTTACAAATGGTTTTTGGAAAATTTTAAAGGTAAGGTTAAAATTTGTAATTATTGGTTAAATAGTTTGACTAAAAATTGGGACAGAGTAGCAAAAAACTTAATACCAGACGCATTGTATTTAGGTAAACTGAAAGAGAATTGCCCAATGAAATTAAATAGTAACAGAGAGAGGATTATAATAGAAGAGAAAGTGGAAACAATTAGTGAATGGTTGAAATTTATAGAAAATGAAATGAGGAAAGAGGAAATTTATGGAAAATTAAACAATTGGTTTGAAAGAATTCAAATGAATAAATGGAATAGGAAATGCAAAGAAAGGAATGATGAGAGTAGAAAGGAAATGGAATTTGAAAATTTGACATCTCGAATAATAAAAGATGAAATTGGGCCAAAGGGATTAGTTAGTAAAATTTATAAAATTATTAACTTTGATAATAATTCACAAAGGGTAATGAAAGAGAATTGGGTAAAAGAACTGGGTATTGAAATTTTTGGATCAAAATTGGAATATGAACTGGGTTAGTAGAATAATGAGGACATTATCAATAAGGATTAAAGAACATAACTATAAAGTCATTTGGAAGTGGTATTTGACCCCAATAAGACTTTTTCAAATGGATAATAAAGTGGATAAAATGTGTTGGAGATGTAAAGTGGAACTCGGGACATAGGCTCATATGTGGTGTAAATGTAATGGGGTTGAACTTTTTTGGTCTAGGATAGAAAATGAAATATTTGAAATAATTAAGAAGAGGGTCAAATTGAAATTGGAAACCATATTATTATTAATATTGAATGAAACAACATTAACAACTGGAGAAAGAGAATTGGTGAGGATTTTGGTTATAATGGGGAGAATTATAATTGCTAGATATTGGAAATTAAAGGCCGGAGTCTTTCGAGGCAGAAGAAAAGTCACCCGATCCAATCTGGGAGACGCCCGAGAAGGATGCGCTCCAGTTCAGCAGTCTAATCCCAAACGAGACGGGACTTCTTCCGTGATCAGCCTAGACTCGGGACAGGGGACCCTGCAAGGCTCCCGCGCACAGAGGCTTTTCTCTGAGTCCCGCCATTTTCTCTAGGCAGAACCGGCCTTGTCCGCTTGGAGCGGCATTGCAGGAGGGCTGAAAGGTGTCTCGAAGCTGCCCCTAGACTGCCCAGTCCCTTAGATGCGGGCGCTGGAACCTCCTGGGCAAAGAGCCCAGCTCGCGCTCTCCCAATCCTCCAGAGCGCTCTCCGCCACCCACTGACCCTGGAGGAAGGGGCGAGGCGTTGTAGCAGCTGAGCCTTTGAAGGCGAGAAGGAACCTGTGCAGGACTTTGAAGTTATTAGTCTCGGGGGCAAAGAATTTCCTTTCCCAGCGGAGGGGTAATAGTTGCTTTCTGGGATTCAAGGAGCTAACTGCAGGATGGACCTGGGACCTTCAACAGGACAGCCAAGGCTCGCAGTCCTCAGGTCGCTCCTGATCCCGGTCGCTTTGATCTTAGTAGGAATACTCAAGCTCAGAAACGAGCTTGGCCCAAAATCTCCCGGAAGTGAGCAATTCCCAGTGCCTTCTTCCCGCTCCACGGCCACACCAGGCAGTTCACGTTCTGCTTAAGACTCCACGCCAACATCCTGGGTGAGTCTCTTTGTAAATGGCAGCGCTGCTCTTGAGGCCGGATTGGGCCCCAGCCCAGATGCAGCAGCAGCAGCAGCAGCCCTTTCACCCACCCCTGACCGGTTGCTCCAACCGGAGTACAACCGTTTCGTGGCAGTTTATAATTTTAACTCCCACCCCCACGCCTCCAGAAGATGAAAGAGCAACCCTCCATGTAGGATGTTGCCGATTCAACATAATTTATAAAATCGAGTCCCCCTTATGGTCGGGACAAAATTTAAATCCACGGCCGCGACATAAATTAACTCTTCTCATACCAGGAACTTATCTGGGAGCTTTAAAGCCTCCAATGAGTGCCTCCTACAGTCGCCCCAAACAGCGAGATGAGCAGTATATAAATAATGAATGAATGAAAAATAATAGATTAATCGTGCATTATTTGAATAACCGAATTACTCCTGGATAGCATCAGGGTTGGGCGAGCGAGACTATAGAAAAGCACCGCGCTGCACCTTTTGCGCGCTCCTCCTAAATTACAGGACCAGTTACTGGACTCCCACCCACCCACCGCCGCACCTCCAAGCGGACAACCTTTCCCCGCGGAGGCGTGGCTTTGATCATCGGGGATCGGCGTTTCCGCCCTTGCCCCACTAGTACAAGATCCTGTCAGCAAAAACTCTGCTCCTTCAGGCATCGCGAGACGAGCGGCTTTCTCCGTGAGCGCAGCTTTCAGGCCGGCAGTTCCCCGAGCAAGAAGGGCTGCCGCTAGGTTCTCGCCGAGCGCTTAGACCGCCCGAGGCTCGGTTCCGGCTGGTCTGTTCGGAGTGGCCGTATCGCGCCCTCCCCCGACAGCTGCTGTCGGAGCCTGGAAGAACTTCACCCTTGGCTTCTCCAAGCATCCCGGAGCCAGCCCGCCCCCCCCCCCGGCTGGTCATGTAGGTGTGCGTCGGGGAAGGCGGGGGTCACGCTCCCACGTTGATGCCTTTCGAGGCGAGTCTTTTTCTTTGCTGGGAACGGAGATCGGGTAGGGCGCAAATTGGTCGTCCCTTAGAGCAGCAGCTCAGCGTTCAACAGACCAGGCAATCGGAAGTCTGCAGCCAAAGGGGCAGGGAGGGCCGAGAGACTGTGGGTCCGCCAAGAAAGCCCCTTCCTTCTTCGGGGGTTGGGAAGAATTTCTCCCCAAGAAGCCTTGCTTGCTGCAATCCCCAAGACCCGCCACAGCATCAGCACTTCCCTTTTGCCAAGCTCACGGGCGCTCCCCCACCGTCGTATCCCTGACTTGTGGATCACGCCTGGCTCCAAACCAGCAATTGTGGTGGAAGAGAGCAAGTGTAGGAAGTTAGCACCCACCCTTTTGGTTCCTCTAGGAGGCCTCTAAGTTGTCAGAAGAAAGGAACATTCTAATGACATACAGCTTAAAGGTTGGTTAGGTCAAGGGGATCCACATGAGTTAAAAGTTGTCTATCGTCAGAAGATGATTTGAGTCTATGCTTCAGTAATCTACAAAAAGAATTATAACTGTTTTGCAAAGAAACTCAGTAATTAGGAAATGTCAATTAAAAATGACAAATGTATATGACCATATGAATTGCTGAGTTAACAGAATCCTTTGTCTAGAAGGGTATAAAACCATTGTACCTAATTTCTGTCTTTGTTCAACGCTTCATATACAGAGCTTTGAACCTATTGCGCAATATACAAATTGTCTCTGATTAATCCAAAAGTTGTGTTTGTCTTATTAAATCCACAACAACCTGGGAAGCACATATGACAATCAACCAGCAAGGCTAGCTAAGACCCCCAGCCCCTGGGAGTCTGACAACTAATCAGGATACTCTTTCGGGGCCCCAAGAAATGCAGAGCCAGAGAGAGCATAAAAACCCGAGGATTTACTGTATCTGCCCTTTTCTGTTCAGGAACTCAAGCCATGTAATCCTGTCCACCATTAAACCATCTTTCCAAGCAGTCTCCATGTTTCCAGTGTCTTTTTCCCCACTTGGAGCAGAACCCAGAAGGATGTTTCTTCGAACACAAGGTTGCAGAGTTTCTTTCTTCCCATTGCATCTGCTCTTCAAGTATCCGCGCCCCCACCCCCATCTCAGCGAAAGGAGAAGCCTGCTGGCTTGGCAGTCAGAGCTGTAGGGAAGCTGTATATACTGGCATGCAGTTCAGAAGAGGGGCTACCAAGAGAGTGAGCGGGTCTGTGTTTGTCTGAGGTGCAAAGAGAATATATTTTCCTCTTTAATGTTTCCAGTTTTGGCATTCCAGTCTCCAATTAAAAACAGTATCACAAAACTCTTCTTCTGCACCAGTGTTTAGAGCATAACCTTGGATAATCATCGTGTTTAAGGATTGTTCACAAAGCCTAATTGATATGTGGGCATTGATTGCATTGTTCTTGCTATAAACTTTTGTAGGAAGAAATATCCTTCTGGGTTCTGCTCCAAGTGGGGAAAAAGACACTGGAA